CACCTTACTGATACTTTTCCAATCAGAATGTTGGGTTTTTATTTTTTTTATATATTTAAGCTTTATATGAGCAAAAGTTCTGCCTGTTGGAACACCAGAAATCAATTCTCTGCGATTCTAAAAAAAAAAAAAAAAAAAACTCATTGATTATTGATTCAATTTTTTTATGTTGTTATTTAAACCAATTTATTTGACTTTAGATTTGATGATTGAAATAAACTTATTATCCTGAAAATCAAAAGCTTTTTATATTATGTTTTTGTTGTTTTTTTTCTCACCATCAAACTATGTTATATAAAAGTCAGGTTTCTGCCAAGACAAAACTGTAAAACCTGAATTTGACAATATAGGATGGTAGCACTCGAGAATCAGATTAGAAGCAATAAAAAGAACATTTCATAATGAAGATTTCATTTTCTTTGTTTTTGTCTTGCAGGGATCTTTGATCTCTTATCTTCTATGATAATTCTGTGTGACAGAAAGATAAACGTTCTATCTAAAATCAATTCAATCATTTTTAAGCCTTTTTATGAATCTGAAAACATGGTTAGATGACTGGGTGAACCATTGCTGATGAAATAGCAATAAAAATAATACAAAAACTCAAATAAATGATGAATTCTTGCTTTTCAACAAAAATACTTTGTCTATCCATCAATGGATTAAAGTAAGCATTGGAAAAATAATTCTATTTAAAACCTATATCTTTTCAATAAGCTCATTGCATGATATATAGTTATTACGTATGTATCTAGAGATTCTTGACAAAATCCAAAAAAGAATTGGCAATGTTAGCAGTCTTGATTTGGCATATTGACTTCAATCACTTTTTCACCATGTAACATAGCTTCTGTGTGCCTTTTCTATAAATATTTTTATGGCAACTGTTCTGATGAGCTTTCTGATTTAGTACCGTGACTTCATGAATTTAAACCTACTAACAGATTGTCAGCTAGATCTTATCTTTTTACTGTTTAAATTGCTAAGTGTAACTGTAAGTTTTATTCTAATAGTTTTTTCTCTCTTGCTTTCTTGTCAATGATGATCTTCAAAAAATTAAATGCATTGTCAATCGTCATCTTCTGTTTTTTTTTTAATACTGTTCTTTTATTGTCCTTTCTCTTCAATAATGTTTTCTCAGTTACTTCCATTCTCAGTAACCCTTTGTTTCTTAGTGGCTTTAAGTGAAGTGAAAAAAAACATGTTAATGGAAAACCATACAATCCTTCCTAAGATGCTATGGTAATCCATAGATAATAAAGAAAAGGAATTTGTCAAGATTAACTATAACCTACAATCTTAAATTCAAGTCCAAAAAAATGTTTACTGATATCCTGAAAATTAATGCCATTAAAACCATTTTATTTCCCTTTGTATTCCATAATTTCTTCATGGCTTTTTCCTTAAAACTGTGGAACAGATTCTTGAGAGGATCCTTCCTTAACCATTACAATAATAACTTCAAGTCTAAAAAAAAGATTACCTATATCCTGCAGGGTAATGTCATTAAAAAAATACTTTACATATGTATCAGCCATGACTTTCTTAGGTGTCATGTCCTTTCAGAATGTGGGCAATCATGGCTCTCCACAAGTTTCTGTATTTTGTTGCTCTAAATCACTTTTAACCCTTTATCATCACACTTGTTCTACCAGCCATCTGTACAGAAACACATTAAGGAAATTACCATCTGTGTCCCCTTGCTAGTCTTGCATTCACTATGTTTTGTGTGTGTTGAATACCATAGGCACTTTTCCTTAGTATATGGCCTAGAAAGTTAGTTTTTCTCTTTCTGATCATAGTCCCTTAAAACTTACTCTTTCTTCATATATTCTGTCCATGGTATTCTTAGTTTTCATCATTAAAACAATATTTCTGTTGCTTCAGGTCTCTTTTTCATTTGTGATGAGATTGTCCAGAATTCACTGTCATAGAGTTGCTTAGTAAGAATATGGAGGAGCAAAACCAGCATTCAAGTTAACTGCAATTGATAGATCGTTGTGGAGGAGACTTAATGTGGCTTCTGCATTCAAGTCCCCCCCCACTATGATTACAAAAATTAAGGGGATGATGATGATGATATTACATAACATTTCAGCAATATAAGTGAAATGAAAGGGTTTGTTTGTTTGTGTTTTTTAGCAACATATTAACTCCTTATGGGTCATTTAATGCCAAAATTGAATTTTCTTGGAAGCATTAGTAATTTATTTTACGAAAATGTATTGCTGGTATTTTTACCATGAAAAAGTATTTTTATGCTCTCATAGTGTTTTGACCCCAGTTTGGGGTTTAACCATAGTTGGGACCTTAACAGGTGAACCTGGGAGCAAAAACAAGTAAGAGGTCAAATCAATGAAATGTTAATTTCCTAATTCTTTCCTTTCTTTTTATGTTTTTTTTTATTTTTATTTTTATTTTTATTTTTTTCAGGATGTAGGAAATCATGGTTCATCACTTCCCCCTATACCTTGTGGCTATCAATAAGTTTTGTGCCTCTGCCAACTCCCCCAGACCACATTCTGCCATCCACTTGCTTAAGCCCACCAGATATGTCATGCATTGATTTCCCTTGTCTCTTTTCCCCTCTATTTGACCTGTGAGTATCAGAATTTCCAGGCCCTCCTTTCTCATTATGTGTCCCAGAAATTTCATTTGTTCTTCCATATGTTAAGTATAAGCTTCTTCCATGTTTGCATCTTTTCCAAGACCTCATCGTTGCTCACACACTCACTCCATGATATCCTCAGCATCCGTCTATAGAACCACATCTCTGCTACCTCGAGTCTCTTCTTCATCTTTGAGGAGACTGTCCAACATTTGCTGCTGTATAGAAGGACAGATGTCACATAGCAGCTCAATAATCTTTTCTTTGACATCAAAGAAATCCTCCTGTCTTGCAGTACTCAGCTTTTGGAATGCATCCTTGGCCATTCCAATCTGTCTTTAGATCTCAGCATCGCACCAACAGCCCTCTGTCAAAACACTTCCCAGATAATTAAACTTCTGCACATACTTCAGTTTACTGTCCCCCATCTGCAAATTATATTTTGGGGTCATCCTTTTACTGATGACCATACATTCTGTCTTCTTGTAGTTTATGGTTAGTCCTTTCTTCTTGATTTCCCTCGCTACCTTCTGTGGGAGCTTTTGTACTTTCTTTTCCATGCCTGCTATTATTACTGTGCTATCTGCATATCTTATGTTGGTAAGATTGTGGCTGCCAATGCTGAATCCTGGTAGGATCTCCAAGTCTCTCAGATTGCCTTATTGTATAGGTTGAATAAGTCTGGTAAGAAGACACATCCTTGCCTTATGCCCCTTTCTATTTTTGTATATTCACTGAACTCATTCTTAATGCATATGCATGCCATTTGCTGACAGTATAGGTTCTTGATTATTCTAATATCTTTCCTGAATATATCAAGGTTGCTGAGCAGTTCCAGCAGATCCTTGTGGCATACATAGTTGAACGCCTTTAAATACACTATGTAAAACTGGAATCATTGTTATGCACATCTTTTGATTTGGCCAGAAAGGCTTCATAACATGTCTATGAGATTCAAGTTGAAATCTCATTTACCACTTCATTTTTAATTCATGTTGTTTATATTAATGGGCAGAAAATGTTATAACTTGAAGGATGTTATAAAAAGTAACACTTGAAATAAAAGAAAAATGTATCAGAATTACTAATAACAGAGACTATATTGAATCCATTGCTAGGTCAGCTGCTAAGAAAGTCAGTTCACTATGTCAGGTGAGACAATTCTTCTCTCCAGAATCTATCTTACATATCTATAAGTCTACCATTAGCCCATGCTTAGAATATTTCTGCCACATATGGTCCAGTACCTCTGCTATTTACCTTGAGCTCCTTGATAAGATCCAAAGACAAATCTGCAATATTATTGACCTGATCTGGTGGCTCAGCTACAGTCACTTTCCCACTACTGTAAGGTTGTGTCTCTGTATCTTTTATATAAATACTTTCATGGTAATTGCTTGAATTAGCTCTTCACTTTGTACCCAAATTTTTTTTACTTTAAGCACAACATATGACTGGTGTTGATATCTCATTAATTTACAGTTGAGCTATCTAGATGTATCTGTAAATTCTATGCTAACAGTTTCTTCCCTCACACTTCTTGTTTATGGAACTCCCTTCTGGCTCCATGTTTTCCAGCCAATCTGCAAAAATTTAAATGTAATGCCAATCGCTATCTACTGTCCTCCTGATTACTCTCTTCTCTTTCTGCTCATCGTTAATGTTTCTGTTCCTGATTCTTCCACACCCTATAACCACTTGTGTTTTAGCGGTATTACTGCTTTGCTTGGGGTGATTCTGATTAAGAAATTAAGGTCATTCTTTCTTGAAAGAAAAGAAAATTCCAGCAGCTGCTTTTTCCAAAACCAGAGCAAACATATGAAAAGCTCAGCCCAGGTTTGACGGAGTTCAAGTGATTATGTTGCCTTGTAGGTAATGAATTATTTTCAACCCTGCAACCCCTTTCCCTTAAGATGAAACATTGCTAGTCTCTCACTGCTCTATCACTATTACTATGGCATACCTTTAATTCCCAAGTCCCACCAGTTCAGACCTTCACAACTAGGACCTACCATACTATGTCCATTGTGTCGAATCATCTTCATTCCATTGGTAAAGCATAAGTTTCACTCAGCTTCATCCTCAGGACTGTGGAATAGACACTCGAGAGGATGCTTCCTTAACCCTAACAATCTTAACTTCATCTAGGATTAAGCTCATTAGGTAGGTTAGTTAGTGTTTACCTTTGTCCCACTTACCTTTAGCATGAAATGGTTTTAGTGATACAAGTCTTACTAATTAACACATAGCTGGGGGAGAATAGGTGGATTCATACTTTTCCTAAGGTTAATTGCATGTAAATGAATAAAACGAACCCAACTGGAATTGGAATACAGCTCTCTGATTAACAATTGCGAGCCATTATCCATTATACCACCTGCACATCCAAGCTTATAGCACCTGGTATTCCCAAGCAGTCACCCATCTAGGTACTGACCATGCTCAATATTGCTTAACTTTGGTGATTTTATGGGAACTGATATTTCAATGTGATGTGGCTGTAAGCAGTAATATGAAATGAAATGGTTAATGAAAATATGAAATAGAAAGAAAAAAAAATAAATGAAAGTGTAGAGAGGTACTGTAATACTGTGTATGTAACTGATAAAAGGACCTACAAAGAAAAAAGAATTGAGAGTGTAGAGAGGTACTGTAATAATGTGTAATTGATAAAAGGACCTATAAAAAAAGAACTGAGAATGTAGAGAGGTACTGAAATACTGTGTATGTAACTGATAAAAGGACCTACAATGAAAAAAAAGAACTGGGAGTGTAGAGAGGTACTGCAATACTATGTAATTGATAAAAGAACTTACAAAGAGAAAAAGAACTGAGCATGCAGAGAGGTAATATAGTACGATGTAACTGATAAAAAGGACCTACAAAGAAAATAATGAAAAAAAGAACTATAAATGACATAAAGACATGCCAGGAAATTGTTGAAAAGAAATCCTTAAAATTAATAGATAGCAAAGAATGATTGCAATGTATTTTCTTAATGAAAGTTTCAATATATAAGCCAGCAGTGAGATAGATTTTTGGATAGAACTGCTGACTCACCTGTCTAGGTGTCTACCATTTTTGATGAATCTACTAACATCTCATGAAATGGTGAACTTTTTCATCTTATAAGGGAGTTATAACTCTGAATAAATAATTATAAACCCCCTAACATTTATATATACAAAAATACTCAAAAAAAAATGAGAAACAGCAAGACGTGGAAACAACAAAACAAGCATTATTCATTATCTGGTTGTTATGTGGTGCTGGAAAAACAAGACAGTAATACTGAGTAAAATTGTGAGTTTGTGGTCAAACTTAGATCAAATATTGACTGGAATCTGACAGAATGATAAGATAAAGAATAAGAAAAGTGTATACAGTCTTTCTCCTATGTTTTTTTTTATAGATTTGTGTCATGAGTGTCCAGATAAGTTGGAAAAATATGACTGGGGTCTTCTTACCTCAAATTTTTGTTAAGTGTTAAAAGATAAATGCTACTCTTATGGCCTGAAAAGGAAAAGGAGACAAAATTTTCATTAACACATGTGGTAATGACCTGTCTGTGTGAACTGCTTGTTCAATAGTGAGAATATCACGTTTGTGTTTGTAGAGGAGAAATGTGGGGTCAATTCTCATTGGTTTAGAATAAGTGAATTAATGATAATTATTATAATTATTTTGACACTATAATTAATTTTTGTTTATTTTTTTATGGACACAACACAATGATAGTGTAATTCCTTTTTTGTTTATATATTTCTCTATTGACACAAAAACCTTAATGCTGAAATTGAACCTCAGACCTATAATATCAAGTTCAATGGTGTGATCACTAAGCACTTTTTAGGACCATAACCAAGTTAATACTTTTATTCATAAAACATGAAACCAGACCATCAAGATCCCTGCTACTATTTTTGTTCACTTGTTTTGGGCTCAAATCAAAGAAATAGGAGACCTTAGGTAATTGAACCTTAATAAGTCATGATAAGCTAATGTAAGTATTAAGAATTATCAATACTATCAACTCATATTAAAGATTAATCTTATTATAATAAAAGCAACCACAACAGACAGAATAGAAATAAAAAAGAATGAAAATTTTATAACTTTTTTTTGTCATAGATCAAAGGAAATGTAAATATAAACCTTTAAAAGCAGTTTGAACAGTCAGTTCTGCATTTTGTAATTAAATTTTCATCTCTGTATTCTGCTGGTCAGTTGCAAAGTCAATCACAAGATCTTATCCCCATTTTGGTAAATAAATTAGTGAGAAAAATAAATTTTATAAGATCAAAGAAGAGAGGTAATCTCCTTTTTGAAAATTTTTACGACAAAATATTCAGAATGTAAACAAATTAATAATAGGAAATCGCTTTGTTCTAGCTTTTGTCTTTTTTTCTTTTTACTGTTTACCATTTTAAATGCATGTTTTAAGCATTAAGCTTAAACCTTTTTAACATACCAATATGCCTGATCAAGAAATAAACAATATAGTCGTATTATGATCCTTCTTTATTTTTAACAAAAATTCAGCTTGTAAATGACATATTTTCAATGTGTGGTAGCTCTATGGTCAAAACTACTCAAGCAGGGCTTCCAAGAACTACTGTTTCTTCTTCTATATGCCATGTCACTTTAGGGCATGGGCAATCATGGCTCTCCACAATTTCCTGTTCTTTGTAACTCTTAGTAAGGTTTTGCATTTTGCTATCTCTCTTAATCCCTGTTCTGCCAACCAGCTTCATACCTAGGTTATTCATCACTTTCCTGTGGCTCTCTTGCCTTTTATACACCTTGTCAGTGTCAAATTCTCAAAACTCCCTTTTCCTCATTAGAAATTTCAATGTTCATTTTGCTTTCATTTTCCCTAAAATATCTTTGTTGTTACTTACATATTCAGTATATGGTATTCTTAGTATCCTTCTGTAGAACCATATGTCTGTTGCCTAAAGTCTCTTCTTTATCTTTATAGATTGCCCAGCATTAACTGCCATATAGGAGGACTGATATTACGTAAAAGTTAAATATTCTTTTCTTCATTTCTAACAAATCTTTCCTGTTTCTTAATACTTTTCTTAGCTTTTGTAAGGCCACTTTTGCTATTCTAATGTGCATTTAGATTTTGGTATTGCATTTTCCATAGGCTCTAATGTGTATAATGAACATGGTGTAGCATATACATGTACCAATTATTCATTTCATCATTAAATGTTTTAGGTTTTGGTTAATGAATGTTTACAAGTTGATTGTTATATTTTTTATATATATTTACAATTCAAAATGGCCACCCTTTGCTTTTGCCATGACCCTTAACCTCTTCTCAGCTGAAGTGCATGACTTCTTCATCATCTTGTTGCTCAAATTGTATCACAAAATCATAAGAGCTTATTTCATGTTTGACATATTTGAATAGGAAATATGTAAAACACTATTCTCTAATTTGAGTCCTATCACATAGGATTAATGTCATGGCTTGATAGAGACCAAATTGACTTACTAAAAGATCTACTGAAATGTCTCTAGCATCAAATTGGCTGTGTGCGTGGAGCTCCATCTTCAGTGAAGACACAATGACTTCAAAATGTGGCTGACAACCAAGGCACAGACATCTCTCTCCAACATTTGCTAATAAACTCTGCTATTAACTTTCAGTCTTTCTTCTATGAATGCTAAAGGTGATTTCAAACCATCAGATGCAATAGCAGATGAAACCATGACACCAGTTGGTTTCTGTCACTTGAAATGCATTCTGAAACCTTCAGGAATGTTTCTTGGTGGAGTGGTGCAAACCCTATTGTTTTGGTAGTTGACTACAGCCTCCAAAATGAAAAAATTCTTGTTCAACTAACAAAAGACTTTGTTTGTAGCATGCTATACCTCCCTAAGATTTTCTTGCCTCTGCCAAGCCGTTTTTGTTTGGAGGCACTTGAGAGCAGCTGTTGATGAATCTTGAATGATTTCAGCACTGAATCCTCATTCACAATCCTCCTTAATAACCTATCTGTAATATTCCATCTCTTTTGCCCTCTTCATCTGTCTTTGTAGACGTCTTTTCACCCTCTTTTTGAGGGTTTCATTGACTCTCCTGGAATTGGATTTGGGGTGTTGTTTGTTCCTCTTAAAAACTTTTACAACAGATCAAGAATAATTTTCAACTGTTTTATCACTATCCGATTCTTCATACCAACCATTTTTATTGAGACAATATGATCATGCTTTGTTTGAGCCACCATATTTAGTTAAATTGTAAACAATAAAACAAAAGGGTGTTAAGAAGCCTTAGGCAATATTTGAAACTATTTATACAGGTATGTTTCAATCTATGTTTAAATAATGGGTAAATATTTATACCACACCTGGTAAATGCATTGTTAACCTTTTACAATAGTAATGCATTCTAAATTAGTTTACTATAAAGACATTAGAATAATCAAAAACCTCTACTGGCAGCAAAATGGCTGTATAAAGATAAAAAATAAGTTCAGCAGATATACAAAAATAAAAGGGGTGCAAGGCAAGGATGTCTCTTCTCACCAGACTTATTCAACCTATACAGTGAGGCAATTCTGAGAGAACTGGAAATCATTCCAGGATTCATCACTGACAGCCACAATCTTAACAACATAAAATACACAGATGATACAGTGCTAATAGCAGACATGGAAAGGAAACTACAAAACCTCCTACAGAAGGTAGTGAAGGAGAGCGAGAAAAAGGGACTAAGTGTAAGCTACAAGAAGACATAATGCATGATCATCAGCAAAAAGATGAGCCCAAAATGCAATTTATATGCCGAGGACACTAAAATCAAGCAGGTGAAGAAATTTAAATATCTGGGAAGTGTTCTGACAGAGGACAGAATGTATGACACTGAGATCCAAAGACATAGTGGAATTGCCAAAGACTCATTCCAAAAACTAGGCAGAGTATTACAGGACAGGAAGCTTTTGTTAGTAACAAAGAAAAGAGTACTGAACCGTTACATGATATCTGTCCTCCTTTAAGGCAGTGAATGTTGGACGGTTTCCTCAAACATGAAGAAGAGACTCAAGGTAACAGAGGTATGATTCTACAGAAGGATGCTAAGAATACCATGGACCAAATGTGTGTGCAATGATGAGGTCTTGGAAAGGATGCAAACAAACAGGAAACTTATACTTAACCTCAGGAAGAGACTGTTGAAATTTCTGGGACACATAATGAGAAAGGAATGCTTGGAAAATCTGATACTCACAGGATGAATAGAGGGAAAGAGGGACAAGGGAAATCAATGCATGACATGCTTAATGGGCTAAAACAAGTGGATGGCAGAACAGGGTCTGGGAGAAATAACAAAATGATAAAACTTATTTAGAGCTGAAAAGGGCAGGAAGAAGTGGAGAGCCATGATCGCCTATGTCATGAAAGGACATGGCATATAAAAAAGAAGAAGAAGAAGATATAAATGCATTGAAATTGAAGAAGAATGAGATTGTCAGTGGTCAGACATTAA